AAGGTACTAATACTGAAAAGAAAGACAAACTGTTTTCAAGAATTCTAACAATAGTGATTACATAGGTCATTCTAATGCTGAGGGATATATACAATATTGGTAGTTTATCCGAAATTAGACATAAAATTACATGGAAGGGTTCCGAACCCCCACCCCCTATGACCTTCCTCATGTCATCCTGTATCAATGTGTCAAGTTTGGTGCTGATTGATCAAGAAATGTGGAAACGTATAAGGAACAGATACACACAGACACACATTTTGAATTTATTTATATGGATGTTTCATATAATGTTTTAATACAGAATGTGCTACATAATATATTTCTGTATAATGTAGCTTTTAAAACATTAAAAGCTTGAACTTTATAGTATATGTAAAGATTAAATTTTAGGATTTCATTATTATCATATCATAGTCCAAACTTGTATTTAGTATGATAAATAACTAATAACACTAGATAAAGATCTTGTTCTTATACACAAGTACAGTTAGTTAGTTACACTATAGTTGAATAATTTGTTTTCTCCTTATATGTATACATTTAAGTGCATATTTTATTAACATTGGAACTGTAGAAAAGTAATAATTCCAATTTAGTCACTGAAGGTTTTATAATAGCAGTTATAAGTTTGTATGGTTTATTACCTAGGATGTTTTATTTGTTATTTTTCTAGATACCAGCAACATAGTACATCAAGAAGGGTGTACTGCCCCTGTTGATGAGGCTGGACTATTATGGGATGGGATATGCTTTGTATTCTTGCTTTTACAGAAGCGATTGTTCTGTAGTTTCTACTTTCAACATCTAGTGGTGGAGACTGAAGTTCAGAAATTACTGGCATCCAGGTTAGTTATACCAAACCTTGTAAGAAATTAAATAATCTAACAAATGACAAATACAAACTGCTTTTGTTTGCAAGTAAAATATACAGAAGAAAGTACTGTCTTAGGTTACAGTATTATATCATTTGTTTAATCTGTCAACTATTCTCTCCAGTTAAACAGACATTCAAAATTATTACTGAACTTGGTTGATCTAATATACATTGTTTATAATAGATACCACAAAATTACTACTGAACTTGGTTGGTCTAATGTACATTGTTCATAATAGATACCACAAAATTACTACTGAACTTGGTTGATCTAATGTACACTTGTTATAATAGATACCACAAAATTACTACTGAACTTGGTTGGTCTAATGTACATTGTTCATAATAGATACCACAAAATTACTACTGAACTTGGTTGATCTAATGTACACTGTTTATAATAGATACTACAAAATTACTACTGAACTTGGTTGATCTAATGTACACTGTTTATAATAGATACCACAAAATTACCACTGAACTTGGTTGATCTAATGTACATTGTTTATAACAGATACCACAAAATTACTACTGAACTTGGTTGATCTAATGTACATTGTTTATAATAGATACCACAAAATTACTACTGAACTTGGTTGATCTAATGTACATTGTTTATAATAGATACCACAAAATTACTACTGAACTTGGTTGGTCTAATGTACATTGTTTATAACAGATACCACAAAATTACTATTGAACTTGGTTGATCTAACGTACATTGTTTATAATAAATACCACAAAATTACTAAAACTTCTCCCTGAGATTGGTTGTCGTGCATATATCTTCAAGTATTTGTTTATTTCTAAAGCTTAGGAAAGTTTTGTATTCTCATGTACCCTCTCTATTCATCTCTTCAAAGTAATGAAACAGAAACATTCTTAACTTCGGAACATGGTTAAGCACAAAGCTACACGATGGACTATCTGTGCTGTGCCCCACAGATATTGAAACCCAGTTTCTTATTATAATTCTGTAGACTTACTGCTGTGGCAGTGGGGAGCCTTTGGATCAAAGGAAGCTATCTATTTAGACTGGAACTAAAAACTAACCCACTACATCATGTATTCTTATTAATATTATGTATTAAGGAAGATGTTTTGAGATGCTAAATATTAGTATGTGTAAGTAACTGATCTGTGTACAGGAAAATGTCAACACCTGGGACATACTGTACTTTAAAGAGGCTTGTGTCTGTTTGTCTTTGTTGAAAATTCTACATCTTCCCAACATCTGATCCCAGTGAAACTTTCAGAAGTTCTTGGTATATGTTTCAGAGGAATTCTTAAACCTAAAATCACTTACTTTATTCACTTTCTAATATCAGTATTCCCCCTTGCATGTCATCCTGCTGTCTCCATGAAGCCACCAAAATAAGTGCTGGGGTTACCTGTGTTTGTACTGATAAACATTGTTTAATTATATAATTATTTCATACACTTCTTAAGAAGTTACCCTAATTTAAAATGATTTGTATTGTTTTGTTCACTTTTTGAGTTATATATATATCATACAACAGAGGAGCTATACTCATCAATGAAAACAAGATAGAGGAAGTCCGTAAACAGCAGGTAGCTGAGCGAGAAATTATGGAAAAGATCAAGAAGAAGATGGACAAGATTCTGTCTCGAGCAAATCAACAGAAGGCAAGAGGAGAATACAAAGAACCAGAAAGTCATTTTCAAGGTACACCACAGTAAAACAGCCTTTAATGATAACCAACTAAAATTATAAGTGTAATGTAGGAGTAGCTTATATCATCAGTTGTAACAGAATAATAATTTTTAAATGATCAAGTGTTTAACAAGGCTACTAGCTGTTCATATTTTCTATAACTTTACACATAGGATATTTCAGTATTATAGTATAATTTAAATTTATTTTCAAATGAAATTTCATTTCTTCAATTCATGAAACTTATCAGCAACTTATAAAATACATATCATGATTTATTTCCTAAGTACCATGTGTACTTTTTCTCCTAAACAGGTACCTTTTAAATAGTAAAGAAATACATCATAAACAATGTGCTACTGTTGTTTTTTTTCAACTCAAGGATTAATAAGCAAGAGCTTGAATACTGTACTGTTCATATTCTTTTTACTTAAAGGCCAGGCTTTCTTAAGTGTCCATTTTTACACCGGAAGATGTTGAAAAAAATCTTCTCCTATAAGTATGATTTATACAGTTCTTGAAATATAACTACTGAAAAACCTTGTGCCAAAAATCTAGCATCGGGTTACATTTTGTCATATTTTTACTTCTTGATGAAGATGACCACTGTTTTTCACATGTGTTCTCCTTTACCAGATTATTTTGTACCTAGAATAAAAAAGACAAAAAACAAACAAATTGTAAGAAGGTTTTCCTTCTGCTGCCTTTTTTCTGTGATAATATTTCAGCTGCCGACTTTGTTTACCATCTATTCTAAAAATACAAATATGAAACTCATCACCGAAATGCATACAACCTCTGTATATTAGCAAAGACTGGTGTAGAAATTAATGTGATCTCATTTACATTTCTACAGTAAATCCACTTATATCAGGCTAATAAGAATAGTCATTTTGTGTTAGACTACTTCCACATATCATAAACATAAGCTTTTATTATAATGTGGCACTATACTAAGAAGTGCAAAGCATATATATGGAGTTGAATTAAAATGGTGATCTTCTTTATCCATTCTGTGAACTCCTTTACATGCATCTCACCATGTCCCCAATTATCTGTTTTTATAAATACACCCCTAATTATCACTCACAGATTTAGCTTTGTAATTTATCAGTCATTTAAACCTAAAACTACCACCACTCACACCATTTGAGTGTTAGCTATACAGTTAAAGAGATACACACCTGTTAAGTAATCCCAGTTTCAAGGACTTTTTTTTTTGTTAGGAAAAATTAGTTGGTTTGAGACTAATAAATTTCAAATCCACTCTCTCCTAATCATCTGCACATGGTGAAAACTAAATATGGCGGGAAAAGCATTATGCACTCTATATATTCCCTCTGAAGCAAAACTGAAATAAAGGAAAACACGTAAAGGAGTTCACGCAATTTCATGTTCAGTGATTTTTATTGAAGAATGCAATTTACTCTTACCCTGTCAGTTATTGATAACAACTAATGTCTTAGCTGTTGTGTATAACGATATAACAAAATGACATAATTTGAGTATCTACACTAGATATATATACATAATGGAGATCATGTGCTTAAAAAACTCACTTTATTACAAGCTCCAAATGGACATACCCAAAATATCTCTTGATACCCTGTGTTAGGGGGGTATGATCAAATCAAATTATATATTTCCGAATTGATTTTAAACTCTAATCTTTTTATTTACTCAAAAATGTGCAATTATTGTCATGAAAATAAACAACCGTAAAGGAGAACACATGATAACGGCGACATGTTATTTTGGATAATTTTATATGGGAAAAACTAATGGGACAATTAGATAATAACAAATTTTCAAAACTACACGAGGGCTATCTGCGTTAGCCGTCCCTAATTTAACAATGTAAGACTAGAGGGAAGGCAGCTAGTCATCACCACCCACCGCCAACTCTTGGGCTACTCTTTTACCAACGAATAGTGGGATTGGCCGTCACATTATAACGCCCCTACGGCTGAAAGGGCGAGCATGTTTGGTGGGCGGGATTCGAGCCCGCGACACTCAGATTGCCAGTCAAGCATTCTAACCACCTGGCCATACTAGGCCATATTTTTTACGTATTTTGTAGCAAAGCTAATGTCATTTAACCATCATAACTTACTTAGAACACACAATAAACGCAGAAATAAACGAAATCTCTAGATATAAGATAATTAATACTTCCTTGTTGCAACGGTTCCCTGCTATCTAAAGTTGCATTTGCTTAATGAATCATTATGTAGAGGTTGAGTGTACAGTGTTGTTTCTTCTCCTTTATCCTAATTATTTCGAAGCTGTCACATTATCTGTAACTGCCTATCGAACATATTTTTGTTATTAAGTGTTAGAGATAATAACCCCGATTTTAAGGCTAATTATATGCATTGCATAAACGATTTCTACCTTAGAGATTTTCATTTTTATTGTGGCTTTCCAACTTATTATTATATTAAATCCAGAAAGAGTTTTCATAACCTCCTCGACTGTAATAAAAACAGATTAAAAAAAAAATTGGATTTTACGCTGCTTTACAAGAAACCGGAAACGATATTCAAGTTGAAACGATTAAAAGAGAGAGTTAGAAAACTTATGTGGCACCGTGTGACATACCTCTCTTCTGACATTTAAAAATATAACGTTATCAGTGATGCTTCTGTTGACGCCAACTTCCCACCGGAAGCCCAGAAAAATGCAATTCTTATCGATGCGGAAGCGTATTTTCCTTTCTAAGGCTGTGACAGATGGTTGCTGTTAAACTGAGAATAAGAATCGTAGGTATTGGTATATTAATTCAAGATATAAAGTATATTAAACGTAGGGTCTCTAAATGTTTCTGTCTCTCTACGACCCACAAGAAACGCTCTAACGCATGGAAAAAAAAGTAATAATTTGCTAGTGATTTATGTTACGATTCTCATGAATATTTACTTGGTTAACACATAGTAAAAGTACGGATGGTGCATCAGTAAAAAGCGATTCGGTATCAATAGTTAGCAATTACAATTTTCAGATAGTAAATTCTATGCTGTTATCATGGATGGATCAGCAAAATTGCGAAGGAGCGTAATGACATCGGAATACTATGTGTATTGTGTTTGGTTTGACAAAATGTTTCTGTAGAATATCACGTTTATCAAACGCGTAAGATGCGCTGAATGTTTTGATTATTCAACACATAACACTCGAATTATCTACTTGTTTACCGGCAGGGTTAATTACAGAGTTAACTGTACAGAATTAAAGAAAACAAAAACAACTGAGCGTTTCACAAATGGCCCGGCATGGCGAGGTGGTTAGGGCGCTTGACTCTCAATCTGAGGGTCGCGAGTTAGAATCCTCACCCCACCAAACATGTTCGCCCTTTCATCCGCGAGAGCGTTATAATGTGATGGTCAATCCCATTAGTCGCTGGTAAAAGCGTAGCCCAAGAGTTGGCGGTGGATAGTGGTGATGAGTAGCTGACTTCCCTCTAATCTTTTACTGCTAAATTACAGACGGCTAGGGCAGACAGCCCTCGTTTAGCTTGCGCGAAATTCGCAACCACCAAACACATAAGCGTTTCACAAATGGTTCATTATCAGTACCGTCGTTTCGCTAGCACAAGCATCATCAGGTTCTTTTAGTGGCCAAACTATGGAAGTAATGAATGAAATATTTGTGAAACGTTCAATTGTTCTTCTCAATTCTGTTTCACCAACTATAGAGGATTTCAAATATTAATTATATAAGACAAGCGAACATAGCACAATTGCCCGTCTTTTATGAAAGATTGTAATATTTTATCTTTTTTGGCTGCTACCACACTCAGTACATATAGTTAATCAAAAAGATATGCCAACACGAGTATTCAAACCCAAATTTTAGCGTCGTAAGAGTGCAGAATTACCGCAAAGCCACAGCAGGGCGACGTGTTGTGAATCGTTGTGCTTTTCTTTCTCGAAAACCAGATAAGAAGAGATGTGAAAAGAAGCTTTGACAAACTAGAAATGAATGGTTTTGTTTGGTTCCAGGAAAGTGTTTTCACACGGCTGAAATGTAGAAATACAAAATACCTGACAATAAAGTGTAAGATAAAGAAATACATTGGTAGACGAGAGCAAAACGCTTCATCAATTTTATAATACAAATACATTGTGCTTTAAAATATAGGATAAGCTGTTGTTGTATATAACATCCTTTTATACGGGTACTAAAACTACGTTATATAGTTGGCCAAAATACTTTCTTGCAAAAACAGCATTAAAACAGTGCGAATATATCGCCAATACGGATAACTAAATCGGAATTTTTCATAAACATCACGAGCCCGGAATGGCCCGGTGGTTAGGGCGCTCGACTCGCAATCTGAGGGTCGCGGGTTTGTATCCTCGTCACCCCAAACATGCTCGCCCTTTCAGCCGTTGGGGGCGTTATAATGTGACGGTCAATCCCACTATTCGTTGATAAAAGAGTAGCCTAAGTGTTGGCGGTGGGTGGTGATGACTAGCTGCCTTCCCTCTAGTCTTACACTGCTAAATTAGGGACGGCTAGTGCAGATAGCCCTCGTATAGCTGTGCGTGAAATTTAAACCACACAAATAAACATCACTTGGAATCTGCTTTTAATAACTGAGTCTTAAGAGTTTCTTTGTTGTTGTTTTTTCATGTAGCCTACTAGATTTTCATTGTAAATAATTCAAGTAAAGTTTCAATCTCTAACATTTATCAGTCTATTTCAAACCTTACAGATTAAGAAACTACGTAAGTAACTTTGGTTAAACTTGGTACACTAATAAAAAAATCTCTGTCACAAAGATAGAATGCAAAATGCTTTTGTTACAATAAGCGCTTTTCATGTTTACCAATTTGCTATTGCTATTAACGATTTTATGTCTCGTAGCTTGTCTTGAAAGGGTGAGATCACTCCAGTCATTAGTCCAGAACTAAACATTGAGACAAACTGTGTCCTTGCACGACAACTGGTTAGTCATTCCAACAGGATTTGATTATTTCATTTCTCCTATATTGCGCCTACAAACTATGTTCTGGACGTCTGT